TCCATCCTGGATGCGGATCCTTGTGTTCCCCTACGACTCCAACTCAACTCCCCTTGCCATGGGAGCAGCGATGCAGGTGAGGATGACCATAGGGTCGCCATTAGAGGTTGGTTCTCCTTGACTCCCAACCCTGAGAAGAACAACAAGCGTAGGATAGGAGCTTTGGGGTTTTTAGGTTCCCTGGTCCTTTTCCTCTTGGTGGATGAGACCATTGGACCGAGCATGCTTGAGGCACACCTTCCCCTCACTACCGACAACGAAAGAAGTGGCCTTGCTCTGCTTTACTCATGGAACTGGCGGCCCAGGAGTTCCATAGAGGTATTTTGCCCATGTCACCCATGTCAAAAGGTGCTCCAACACGTGGGCAGATCAGCTCACACATTTTAATTTTGAGGGGTTCTCCCCTGAACGTAGGGACGATGTTTCGGAAGCTTGGAGCCTATCCTGGATGGTCTGGGTTCCCTGACCTTTTTGCGGACTCTCGGGGCTCGTTGCTTCCTGTCCTCGGAATCTCGGACCGGATTGGGGGTTGTGAAACTCCCCTTGGATCAATCCGTTGGGGGGCTGGCGTATTTTCCGACTGGTTTCCGGACCTGTCTGAAGCTATGCCTGCCCCGGGTCCCTCGGAATTTTGATCTGACCTGCCACTTCTCGGTTCTCGGCGTGCGGGTGAAAAAGTCTCACTGAGAGAGTGCTGCGTTAGGGTCTTCCACTTCTGGGCATGTGGCTGCACTGCGACATATATATGCACTATAATTAGCATAGAATAGTATAGTATAGTATAGTACTATATGGCATTGTATGTCATGAAGCAGAAAACATTAAAAGAATGCAGTTTACAATACTGCCATGTAATGACACAACACAACATGATATTTAATATGATGTAATATAACCTTTGGATTGTTAAGATAGCATATAATACTTCTACTACAATATGGACGGCTGCGTGCGCGCGCACACACACATACCCAGTGTGAGCTGGTTGTCTCGTCATCATCTCTCTTCACGTTTCGATTTGTGCACTCTTCCGACAGGCGTACTCCGGGTGTCTTCCGAAGTCTTCCGACAGTCATATTCTGGGTGTATTCAGAATCTCTTGGTGCGTTCCTTGCTGCTGCAGCATATACTATCTAGAAGATCAAGTACACCATCAAGCAGAGTACGACTTGGCTGCGCTAGGAACAATCAAACATAACATGCAAGCTCAGTCACTATGTCTACACAGCAATGAGTCTTTTGACATCGATGCAGGTACGTCCAGGTGATCAGCTTGGATATCCTCCCATCCCAAAAGTAGCTTCGTTGGCGGTGGACTCTTGAGTGGGCCGCTGCCCCCTGCATTCTCTCTTCGCAAATCTGTCAGCAGAAGTAGCTTCCTTAGGAACAGGAATTCCACACACACCTACCCGGTCAATGCCAGTTCTTCTACAGAAGGTGTAAGTACGGTCGCTCAGTACAGCAAGGGACTTCCCAGGAGGCTACATAGTGCTTGACTCACGTAGCAACTCTAGCGTTGAGACTCGGCGCTTCAACTCAGTGATTTCAGCAGTGGTACTTTCAACGAACTCGGCAAACAGCTCACGAAGGTCACTGCCCGATGAAGATGAAGTTGGGAATGCTTGCGAGCTGGTGTTCTCCCCTTCGAGAATCTGGAGTAGAGCTTGTCAAAGACGCTCGCGACGCTCTGATGGCTGCTCTGAAGGTGCGCCCGAAGGCATAGCAGCATCACAGGCATCGGAAGGAAGATCGCTCATGATGCGAAGAGAACTTGCTATCGCAAAACTAGCCGTGTTTGCAATCTCAGTAATTTCTTCAGAAAATTGATGTTGCTGTTGAGCTACGTCTCGAACTTGCGTCTGAAGAGAGTCAAGTTGAATCTGCTGGGCTAAGGTCAGGCAAAGAAAACAAACCTTGCCATATCTACAAATGGTACATTTCAGCGGAGGTGGGGAAGGTCAAAGCCTGCATTCAAAAGCATACCGATGAGAGCAGAAAGCTGATCTTGTTGGTCTTCAGGAGGCCTTACATGACGTAGGATGCTATGCCTTTCGGCAATAAATGCAGCAATCTTCTGATGTAGTGGACCAGCACTTTGGGGGAGACGAATCTTCCAAGGCTCATCGCGAAGTAGTAGATGTAGGCGAGCTTGATGAGCAATAAGGTCGAATCCCAAGAACTCTTGACCGGCATCAGTAGAAACTACTTGTTCCAATTCAACAGGGTGCTGATAGAACAGGTTAAAGAACAACTGCTGCAAAACCGCATGAAGGGACTTGTCCGAGTCCAGAATCAGAAGACCATTATCAACTAGCGTACGCAGTAGAACTGTCCCAGTCTTTGGACAAGCTCTTGATGCTGTTCCATAAACCACTGTTCAAGAAGGGAAACGGTTGGGTTAGCCAGCAGCATCGGGGAGATCTGGTTCCCGATCGTAGCACCACGCTGCTGCCGAAATACTTTGCCCACAACAGTGAAGACACTGCACTCGCAGCTAAGTCGACAGATATCGACCACGTCACGTAGCTTCTGGGCACCACTTCTGGAGCGTCGTTTCCATATCCGAAGATTGGTATCTTGTAAATCAAGACGAACAAAACAGACGTCAGCCTGAATGTCCCCACGATGCTTGGGAATGTAGCGTTCCACGACGGATTCCACGACTTCCGAAACACTGGAAAGAATTCTGTTCACCGGAATGGAGGTGAAAAAGCCGATGAGGTCTTGGTTATGGACTTCTGGAGCGTCTGCATCGAAGTGGTCAGTTGGTTGAGCATCTGAGGTAATGTTGAAAGGCCAAAGGACCGAGGACAAACATCCCGTAAAAGCAAGTTGAGTAGGATGAAATTGGCATGGACAAGTCGGGCATAGATGAAAACGCTGTAGCTTATCATAGGACGAGCAACTGGATAAAGTTGTTTTGCGCTTGAAAAAAAGGTAAGCGATCGGAACGCTGCTGCTCCGTAGATTCACTCCCCATGAGTAACTCTTGAGAAGAAGGAAGTCTCGAAGATTCTTGAAGAAAAACTCCAGCTTGAGAAACACCGAGGCTGAGCATTTCATGCACTTCCGTATCTCCAAAGGTGGCCTTGTAAACTGTCCAGGCGAAGTAAGGGCAGAAAACATGAGTATGAGTGATGGCATGATCTCGCCCATGTACGAAGAACCCGTCCAAGATATTGCGAAGAAAAAGTACGTCCTTGTACTTCAGGTCTGAATAAGAATCTTGAGTGTGTTGAGGCCATTGTTCATCGATGAAGTCAGACCACATCTGAAAAGTGATGTCAAACAGTCCGTAGTGCTGACACCATGCCTTTACGCTTTTCCAAGTCTCATGTAGATAATGGCTTTCTTGAATTAAACCTGTGAATCTACTGAATACTGCAAGTACTGTTGAAGACGAGCAGGTACATTGAGTAGGTACGCAGGACTGGCAATGTGGCCGTCCACTGTTGGGAGATCCGGATGTTCTTGTTTCCAATGTTGACAACGGCAAACTGGAGGCTCATCCCAGTACCAAACTTGGGAATTCTCAGTCTTCTTCCAACACCAACGCCAAACCACCGAAGAAGCCGGCGGCGTACGACTGCGCTCGCGAGACGATTCCATGCTGAAGCAGCTACAGATATGATGTGAGCAATGGAACAGCTGCAACATTCACCACAGTCATGACAATAATGTTCTGGCATCGAAAGTCATCAAGGTAGAGTAGTGACATGCAAGCATCAAACACCATCTTGCCGTATTTGGGTGTATTCAGACGGCAAAGAAGATTGCGCTGTCGCACTGGAAATCTGGGTGTATTCAGGATCCAGTATTGCTGTCGATAAACGGCTTCACAAATAAACAGTACTCATACATCATCATCCAGTACCGTAAGAAGGTGTATTCAGAAGGCACATAATCATCACTTTATCGTCACCTTATCATCGCATGAACTTCATTCGAGCATCGCATTGTCGTGCTGCAATAGTCAATAGTACTAATTGCCGTATTTGGGTGTTCAGACGGCAAATTAGCATTCTCCTGCCGTAAGAGGGTGTATTCAGGAGGCACAGTCATCATAGCATTGTCGCCGTCATATCAGAAGAATAGCATCGCATCGGCATCATCTGTCACGCTACTTGTGCACCGGAGCTCTTCGGATGGCCTGTGTCCGAATCTCGGCGCACCGCCACTGCAGTTCAGTAGTTACGTTCTCAGGCCTCCAGGGAGGGTGTGCAGAGACGCCGACGCATATCTGCGTTCTGCTGAGTCAGGCTGTTGCCCAGGACTGTGGATTCATTCCGGGATGCAGAAAGCTGGATATCGTGGTACGCCAAGTGCTCGGGAGCGGATTCTGGGCCCCGTCGACATGACCGTCGACCTGCCGTCGTCTTAGCTGAAGTACCTCTGGTGCTGCACGCAACTGCCGCTCTGCAGGAAACAGTCTGGGGTGAGTTCTCGAAGTGGATGGACGAAAGGTCAGGCCAAGGCTTTTGCGCACGCGATCGCCGCGCTTGAAGTCCTGGTCCAGCTAAGGTGCCACTGGTGCGGCCGTTAAAACAGACAGGGTGGGAGATGCTGACGCTGTGGGAGAGACTCGTGCCGACGAAGCACCGACCTCCTCTGCCTGACGGCTCCAGCAGATCCAACCATTGCCGATGCGAAGCAAAAGGCCCGAAGCACGTAGGTGTGAACATGTAGATGTCAATGCGCACGCGCGTTTGTCTGTGTGTCTGTGTGTCTGTGTCTCTGTCTCTATGTCTCTCTGTCTGTCTCTCTGTCTCTCTGTCCGTCCGTCCGTCCGTCGGTCGGTCGGTCGGTCAGTCTGTCTGTCTGTCCGTCTGTCTGTCTGTCTGTCTGTGCACGTGTGCGCGTGTGCGAGTGTGCGCGGGGTGGGTAGTCGAGATGGCAGATTTGGAGAAAAGCAACAACCACGTTCAGGGTTCATTCTGCGGCTGTTGGGTTACCTTTGGGTTGGTCGATGGCTGAGATCCTGTGCCGCAGATGCGACTCAGGCAGGCTTTTGCGCTGCCAGTTTTTCTGCGCCAGCTGACGCGCTGATGACGGAGCCGCATGTGGGCGCTTAGAAGGCTTAGAAGCCTCAAACTTCGTTCGAGGTCCAAAGCATCGGTTCGCAATCTGTGGTAAGTTAAATCTGTACGAAATCAGCTGCCGCACAGGTTCCACAATGATATAGGTTTCTTTACCAGTCGAGAAGATTTTGGAAATGAAGTTCGGCGCTGTTGGATGGCACCTGTTCATCGCATGAAATCTTGCATCCGCGCATCCCGCGCATTGACCGAAGCCCGACACTCTGGAAGAAAGGCATTGCCGAGAGGCACAGAACAAACCCACGTTGAAGCCAAAACTACCGCAGAAAGAACCCACCCGTATCGACAAAGGGATGGTGGATAGCAGATGAAGCCATACCCACCAACGCGCATGCAAGAGGAAGCATATTCCTTCCCATCATCCCAAAACCGGGAGCACAAAGGGGTCTCATACCATTCCATTACTATTGCCATTTCCCTCACCATTACCCAAACTGTATACCGGCTTGGTGCTGCACCATGACTCTGGGTTTCGCTGGTGTCGACACAACAAGCTCAAATCCCCATGCTATGCCTGAAACCAAGTCGTCGCTCATCTCATGCCAGCTTGAGGTACCAGAGCAGCTCGGATGGTGGGCTGTTACGCTCTGCCGGCAACATGCTCCGCAAACGAGGCGGATGCCGGGGTCTTGAACTTTATTGTTTGGTTGACAGATGTTGACACATGGACTCTGGTGAGTATGCAGCAGCGTATATGCTTTGGGGTTGACTTGGGGTGTGGATTCTAATTGCCTGTCTTACATCATGAACACATTTAGAGTCTAGAGTTCGCCTTCCATCGAGAGGCCAAGCTGGTCACGAACAGTTTGAATCCGCCAGACTCTGCACTTGGGAACGTCAACGTCGCCAGGTCCGGCCGCCTTCGTCCGCGGATGGACGGCCAATTTTTGTCGGTGCCGTGGCGCTCAACCTACGTCTATCTTAAATTCGCCGCAGACGCCAGAGGGAGAAGCCCCGAACACTGTGCGGCGGTTGGCTTGCAAATCTGAAGCTTCTTGTGACAAGCTGACAGCAGACTAGAATCCGAACATCCTGTTTTTATTGAGACGCGCCGCATGAGCAAGCAATTGCAAGCAATCGCTGGAAACAAGGCTTTGTAATTTCTCAGGGCTATATGGTCATTGTTTAAAACATGCTGACGACTCGCCACTCCACGTGCTGAAGACGTAGCTGACAGAAAACCGTCAGATTTTCAACCGACCATTCCCACTTTCTGACATTCCACATACTGCCTCTCGTGACCACACCCCCGACCGACAGGCGTGTGCCTAATGAAGCCCAAAGCGACACGCGGATCGCTTTTTTGAACATGTGCTGCATGGGGCCATGCACTCTGAAAGCTGGTTTCAAGCGGGGCCTTCATGCAGTATGGCTGGCCTGGGCCTACGTCGCACCTGGCTGCTGCTACCCGGCCGTGTTTCGGTTCCTGCACCACCTTGGGACAGCATGCGCTGTCCAAGGCCTTCTCGACCACGCGACCTTCGGCGTGTCTCACAGCTACTTTCGAGCACTTACAAAAGCCAGGAACGCTTCGCAACTGCCGCACCGTAGGTCATATGACACACGAGGGAGGATGAGAGAAGCATCCGGGGTCACAGAGGCAAAAGACACCAGGTGTCTGGGACCTGTGGCCTCGCGAACTCAACACTTGGTTGCTGCACGCTAGTGCGACAGGCCTTGCCCCTAGAGAGGCCGGCCGTGTCGCAAATTGTTTTGCTTGTCTTGTGGGAACCTGAACCCCGAAGCTTCGGCGACCAGGTCGAAAGGAAGCAAGGCCGAGAACTGCACATAGAACTGCACATATGTATGTATGCATGCATGTATGTGTGTATGTATGTATGTCAGTACATAGGATTGTTTGTAAACAGGTAGGGTAGCTTGATGCGACCGATCGTCCTCGCATGGCTCAGCCGAGTGTGTGGCAACAGAGTAAGCAACTATGCAAGGTCGCCTGTGACTTTCTGGGGGTCGTTGCACCAGTTTCCTTCCCCTCCAAATCTTGGTAGACATGCTTTACCGGCTTTGCCCTAAGCTTTGCTGAATCCTGTAACTATGCATCTACCCGTGCATCTTCTGTCGTAGTAACGACTGCGACTTACCAACCGTATGCTCGCTGATGTCAGCAAAGCCAAGACGCAAATGCACAGAAAGGGTACCGGAGAGACACAGAAGCACGGTCACTTGCGAGCCGCAAAAGCCTGCTGACAATGGACAATCCAGGCTGGCGCCAACTTTCACCGTCGGAAGCATCATTTACGAGCAGATGCGCCTGCTTTTGGGCCTGGGGTACATGACCTGATCCTGCCCTTGCAACCGAAAGATCTCTAGAACCGGAGAGCTTTGCGCATGTGGACTGGGGGTCAACAGTGTTATCTGCAGCACTTTCGGGCCGCAATAGCTTGATCCGTTTGCCGGGTCAGCCGACGTTTCATACAGGTTCCTTTCGACCATCTTGTGTAGCCGCTTGGTGATGTGCGCGATGGTTGCGGGGTTGTAGCCGTTAACAGGTGTCTAGCCTACATAGGGAAGTCTCACCGGACGTCGCGTGCAGAAGATGTGAGCATCAAAATACAAGCTCATCCGCTGCTTGTCGAGCGGCATGTGCGCCAGGAAGTCGCAGAATCAGCACAAGTGGTCAATTGGTCTGTACGAGACTCTACGAGTGGCATTCAGGGGCTGCAGGGGTAGCGAAGTACTTTCGTGTCCTTTAACGGCTCGTGGTTAGTCGAAGTCGGCCTCGTCGTCTTGTCAGCGTCTTCTCGTTTTCGTCGTACGTACGGTGTTCCTACATGTCTGCTCGCCAGGCTTCTTGCAAGAGCACAGCGTGAACTTGTTCTTGCCCTGTTGAACTCGTATTTTGCAGGTGTGTGCGTGTGCGCATGAAACAACTAGACCATTCATAATACTGCAGACAGACGGTGCTGTCGTCGAAGCTGCACAGTCGCGTCTTACGCATGAGTGACAGCCAGTCCATGCGTCATGTTCTGCCACTCTTGTAGGCCTGTGATGAGTACAGTGTACATGTGAGTTTGGCACTCTGCAGCCCATGCACTGTTCTCCCGACATCATATCATTCGCTCGTAGCAGTATGAACTGAGACCGGCAGGTCGCAAAAGCAGGTTTCTGACTCAGTAGAGTGCAATGTTGCAGTGTTTGACAGACAGTCGGTCAATATCGTCCTGAGGATGGTTAGAGTGGACGACAGTGGACGTAAATGTCCAAGGTAGATAGATCTACACATGCCGTCCGTGAATTGCCTGTGCGTGTGGGTGGTCGAGTCGTAATGACGTAATGCAATAATGGGGCGAAGTGTTAATGAAGGTGTATCAGAGATGAATCGAGAAGCTTTGCCATGTTTGATCGTTCCATTTTCTCATGTGTTGCGCTGTAGTATGACTGCCTGCCGATGCAGTACCGTTGCTGGTGTTGTGGCTTTCTGGTGCAGTTGCCCCATCACATGCTCACAGTTTGCCGTAGGCGCGCTTTAAACGTGCCGACTCTGTAGACGGTATGCTTACAAGGTTTGGCTTGATTGTTCTTCCAGTGGACTGTTGCGGCCGTATGCGGTTACGTAGGTTTCTGGGTCTTCTGACAGATATTCTCACGAGTACCTTTTCATTCAAGCTTCTGGTGACTCTGGTGTTCCCATGTCCAACATTCAAAGCTATTTGCCCTCGATTTGCATCCTGTAAGCTTGATAGGAGGGCGTCTTCTTGGAAGCTCACAACACTGAGCCCACAACCCGCCCACCCACCACACACTCCGCCGTCGTTATGGAGGCCTCCGTTCAGAAGCCGGTGCCGACTCGGAGGCGCCGAGGGTGCCACTACGACTGAGTTACTACTGCTGCTGCTACTACTACTGTTACAACCACTACTGACTGCTAGAAAGGGGAATCTTGTGAGGTGGAGTTTTTATATTAAAACAGTGTGTCGCTGAAGCGTGTAAGTGGAGACAAGAAAACACAGTCCGAACCCTTGTTGATTCATTTACATGCGCAAGTTTGTGTGTATGTACATGTATAAATACATATATATATATATATATCCACATGTACACACATACATAGGTTTCAGTGTGTGTATATGTATACTCTCTTTCTCTCTGACGGCCATCGGACGCGTTCGCGACCGTGTATATGTATATGCACATACACACACACACACACACACATCTCTCTTTCTCTTTCTCCACGTATGCAATCTACATAGTAGAATATGTCTCCTAATTATCGGTCTGGTGGGTAGGAATTAGGAGATCAGTTTCGCGATCGTTGGAACAGCCGTGATCTTATGTTTTTCCGTGGTCATTTTGGCGATAGCCGGTCGGCCATACCGAAAATTTCGGCGTGGGAGGGACAGATTAGATCGCTCGAGTGCAGCAATGTCGTTCCCTCCTACGGGCCCTTATCAGGGACATCGCCCAGCGTGTCCGCAGTTTGGACTGCCCCGGAGGATCCCCCAGGGCGAGAACCCTGGAAACTGGGGGTTCTATACTCTGGGACAAGCGGAAGCTCCCGAGAACCCGGCGGCTCCTGCTGCCGCATCCGTCGACTGGGGCGCAGGATGGGGTCGCGACGATCGTCGTGGACGTCGTGACCGTGCAGCTCCAGCCGCTCACAACCCCTTCGCTGTTCAGCGGCCGGAGTTCGTGCGGCAGATCGTGGTCGAAGAGGAGGACGAGACGAAGAATTCCCTCCTCGTCGTCGACAATCGCGATGACAGGGTGATCTCCTCCTTTCAAAACTGGCTGGCCGAGGAGATCATCTCGAATGCCGCCAGTTCGATCAACGTTCTGACCGAGCGGGACCTGGTCATGCCCCCGAATTCGGGCTACCATTGCTCGCTGTTCGCCAACTACACGCTCGATGGCATCAAAGCAGTTCCGCTCTTTTCGATGACATCGACGACGGGAGGTCCCTGTGCTCAGTGGGACTCCCATGCGAGCCGGGCGCTATCGCACTCACATGGCCGGTGATGTTCGACACCTCGGCCACCTATGTGGATGTGAAGCAGTTCTGCGACGAGGTCCTGATCAGGACGGCCAACGAAGGGTGGTTCCGACCCTCGATCGTCATCTCCGTCTTCGTGGGATGGAAGGTCTGTGTGACTTCGTTCGAGGTCGTACACGATCGGCCCGAGAGGAGCGGTGATGGCAAGTGATCACGCCATGAGCAATTGCGAGCTCAGGGTGACGCCCGCTCCTCTGGGGAGGGCTACGGGAACGATGCCGATTATTGGGTGGAGTTCCGGTTGCAGGGCGCTAACAACCCGATCGACCTCAAGTGCGGGCGAACGTCCGTGCCTGGCACCTGGCTCACTGTCAGCCACATCTCGGGCCCCGCGCTGATCGCACGATCCAGGCATGCCGGAGCCAGCGCGCTCGCGATGAAGGCCCGGATCACATCCAGCAGTTCGCCCAGCTCTCGGCAGTGATCTCGCCGTGGTACACCGAGAACTTGGGACGACTACGGATGAGTTCCCGGTCGATCGTGGGAATTTCCAGGTGAGAGCCCGCTCCAAGCTCAGAGTGAACCCCTTGGAGTTCGTGAGGCAGGAAGCGCTCGCGCACCGGTCGCATGGTGAGAACAATGCCGTTCGGGCTCGCAATGGTCCGCCAGCTCTGATGGACGAGGCGGCTCGGCAGGCGGTTCGCAGCTGGGCTCCTCGGCTGTACTTCGGCAATCACGAACATGCCTACCTCTGCTCAGCAGTTGTTCGACCAGAGGGTGTCGACCGTGCACCCTCCAGCAGAAGGAGAACTAGCAGAGGCTGATCAAGCCGAGGCAGTCCTCACGGAAGCTCGCGATCGCATGAGGGCAGATATGCGCTTCTCGCGCACTTCTGCCGCGATCACTCCGCAGGTCTTCACCGATGTCCTTCGTGATCGCGAGGCGGCGGAGTATGAGCGGATCAGCTCGGTCAGGGTGCAGGAGACTGGCCCGGAGATCGCAGCGATGGCCTCCACTCCTATCCTCCGTGCCTAAGGCGTTCGCCCCGGCCTATCCACCAGCTCGTTCGTCGGCGGGTCCCTACACGATGGACACCTCAGGAGTGGAGTAGGCGGCGTTCGCCGTGCAGGAGTTCATTTCGGTCGGCATTCTGTGCACGCTCCAGAAAGTGAGTTGTGCGCCGCTCTGGCCGGTAACATAGCCGGCAGATCAGCCGTGCTCTTTCGCGGAACAAACATGCCGAGCGATCCTCTCGGCGCGCTAGATCCCAGCGCAGTTCTGCGTGAAGTGTGATGTATCATGACCTGACTCAGGCACGGTGCTCGGTTGCCATTAGCAGGCACGCGTGATCGCGCGGTGCAGCTGTTCAGGCCAAGCATGGATAGGTCTGTTAGGAAGATCCTCTCCCTTCCTTTGTTCGGGGATGAGTTTTACCAATGGTTGGTGGATCTTCAGATGGCTCAGTTCGAGAAGCTCTCGGCTGTTTCAGACGGGACGATCGCTGAGTGTGTGCAAGCGTTCGTTGAACTCGGCGCAAGAACGAGGAGGAGCTCGGCAGGTGGGTCCCTTCGATCGAGCTGCTGTTTGTGCTGGTTCGTAGTACGGCGGCAGCTGGATGGGCAGATCTAGCCACCGATCTGGGGTTTGGACTGGCTGTGGCTCCTCTGGCTCTGGGGCGATCACCCCTGAAGTCGAGGGGAAGTGCCACCGAGCAGCCGATCCCTCTCCCTTTGACTATGCGGCCTAGGACGATCGAGCCGCGAGCGGAAGACCAACAAGTGTCGCTCAAAGCTCGCGAGCTCGGCGAAGCTCGGAAGGGGGGCATGAGGCTCAAGGCGATCGTTGAAAGGTGCAGAGAGCACGCCGCGATCGCGGCCTGGATCTCCTCTATCCCAGGACGAAATGAACGCTCTCCGAGTGATCGTGATTGAAAGTGGTGGTTTCCGCACGATCCAGCAGTGCGTTCGCCGCTGGGAGCGGCTGGAGACCTGGGCACGCTCTCAGAACCTTCAGCCGATCCCACTGACTACCGACGCGCTCGTCAAGTACCTGCTGAACTTGTCAGATCGAGGATGCGGGCCTACGGTCCTCCCGTCAGTTCGAGGCGCGATCAAGTGGATCTGCAAGAGGATCGGCATGCAGGGACCGGATCTGCTCAATCCTCGAATCATGGCCCTGCAGAAGAAGGTCTACGGCGATCGGGGGAAAGAAACTCGGGAAGCGGTTCCGATCCCTCTGGTCTTGGTCGCGGCGCTGGAAAGGTTCGTCTGCGCTCGATTCAGATCGAACCAGTTCGTCATGGCCTTCTTCGCCTGGTGGGTCCTCGTGATGATCTACTCCTCACTGAG